TTTATTATTCCTTCCCATGTTTTCAAGTATTTTGTTTACTAAATTGTATGTAATAGGCTTTCTGATTTTTTTTATTATTCTGCTGCCATCCACAGCTTTTGATCAGTGTGTCATAACTACTGTTACATAGAATTGAAAAAATATAAGCAAAATGCATGGAAATTCAATTTCTTAGTTGACTTGTGCAGAAAAAATATTATGAGCAAATATATGATCTCTAGTATACTTTTCGAAATATTGAAAAGGGTTCAAAGATGTCTTTACTGCTATCTTCATCTGCCCCAAGTTGGGAACCACTGGTTATATCTACCCTCTTTTCCTCCCTAAATCAAGTATTAGCATAACATAACATAACATAACATAACATAACATAACGTAACGTAACGTAACGTAACGTAACACAACTACCCATGTTAACACATAGGGGATTGGTAACAAAATTTACCACTGAAAATCAGATTAATTGTAACACTCATTCTGCAGGGTTTAACTGAGAAAGAAAACATAACAGATTTAAAGCAATTTATTTAAAAATACAAAACTATGATGTCCAGTATATCTTCCAGTCAACTTCAAAAATCACATTAATATATGAAGAAATCTTCAATTCCCCTGTGAGGTAGGACAAGAATATTGTCCCCACTTACACAATGAGGACACAAGGTACAGAGGAATTAAGCAGCAGAGCTAAGAACTGAACCAACCAGAAGTGACTTGGGTTTGAATTTCATACCACTTTCCTTTCCATTTAATATCAATTTGTTCCAACTGATCTTTTTGAAGATGTGGAGCTTAATAAGTCACTGAAACAGATAATGGATAGAATATGAAACTTTTTACATTAATGTTAAAGTAGGTCCTCCCATATCTCCATTGTTGTTATAGCTATAATTTTTGTCTGGATACCAACTATGTAGTTAGATTCCACATAGGCAAACACTACAGACCTGTCCTCAGTTCCTAGGGAAATTACATTAATTCTTATTACCATATAGGGCTGAGGTCTAGCAAGCATAAGGTTCTTTAAGTCTGTGTGATATGAATACATACCAGCTAGGAGCCAGTTGGTGAATCAAACTTACTGCGTGCAAGGCACTGTGGGAATACTCACAAAGTGTAGTAGATTTAAGAAAAATCATTCTGAGATTCTGTAGGGTAAAAATTTCTTAAGGATTCCTAAAATCAAAGAATATGATTAGGTGATTTCTAATTTTCTGTCTAGCTCTAGGCTCAACCCCATGATTTTACAGATAAAGAGATTGACATGTAATTTAAGTGACTTTTAAGGAGCCCATAAGATTAGATAATTTCTTCATATAGTATGAATCTGAAGTCCACAGAAAAGAAAACATATTCTCAGGTTGCTATCATCAACCTTATTTTTAGACCACATATTACATAAAAAGGTAATGTTAATAAACCAATTTCTTTTCTGTGGAAAATTTTCCTATAGTTCACCAATTAAAGGAACCCAAACAGTTTGACAATTGTTGCAAAATGGATTTTTAAAGTAGAATTTTATAGGCATAGGAGGCTCTAATTTCAATAAATTTGAGCATCTTATAATCAAATTAGCAAAAAATATTTCCACTATGTGAAACTGCTCCCATTAAACAGATATAATTTCTATATTTTTCTAGATAAAAATAAATTCTAATGAAATATTATTCAAGCAGTGAGGTTTCTTTTAAAAATATTTTATTTATTGATTGATTTTTAGAGGGAGGGGGTAAGAGAGGGAGGGGGTAAGAGAGAGAGAAATATTGATCTTTTGTTCCACCCATCTATGCATTCATTGGTTGATTCTTGTTTGTGCCTTGATCAGGGATTGAACCCACAACCTCAGGTAGTAGTGAGTTATTGAGATTTGATTTTGTAAGTGGTGGGTTATTTGTAAGCAAAATTAAAATGTTAATTTTTAAAGCTCTCATACATATGAAAAAAACCCTATTTTTTTCAAAGACTTACAAATGTTGTGGAACTTCACTCCAATTATTACAAAACAAAAATAAATTTCATTAAAAATGGTAGAGTACTAAGTATTAATGCAGTTCAACTGATCAGACAGTACTTATAGGTCATAATAATATGAGTAGTATGTCTATTCAATACTTAAGTGGGTTTTGGTGGGGCTTCAATCCAAGACCATTGTTGTTCCAGAACCATGTTAAATTACACTTACACTAGCATTAGAATTAAACTAGTTTTGTGAGTGACTGATAGTCTTGTTCTGTAATATTTTGTCACTAATGGATCACATGACTAGGGGAAAAGAAAAAAACGGGCTTTAAACAGATTTAAACAAGTAGAAGAAATATAATGTGTTAGTGAAATATACTTAATTGAAAAGATAGTTTTAAATCTAATTTCTACCAATTCATCTATTCTGCCTCCTTTCACATAAGATGCTACTTTTGTTCAAAAAAGACAAGGCACTTTCCCATCTACTTCTAACAGTTGACTACAATGGTCTCTTTCCTAAATTAACATGAGGGTTAAAAGGGAACAAAGAATAATGGAAAAGGGTTAAAGTTTATTTCATTTTATCTACAATTCGAGTGCTTAAAGGTGTAATGGGGATGGAGCTGCATAAAGGTAAGTTAGAGAGGAACCAGTTTTAACTTGTAACCTTAAAGCTTTGTGAGATTTATATGCTTTGGCAAATACATGTTATTTTCTCTGGAAATGACCACAGCAAGTTTAATAAAGGATTATTATGTAGCAAAAAAGTAAAAATTACTTTCTTCAATTAAAAAACAACTTTCACAAAAATATTTTACTAACTTGATGAAAATATCTGAGTACATTCTATCTTGAGGATAAAAGAAAAAAAGACCAGGGGGAGGAATTAATGACCACTAGTGTGCTCTGTCATTTCAGCATTCACTGTTGCCAATTTCATTGAAAACAATCCCTCCCCAAAGCATTCTAAAACCCCAAATGAAAATTAGCCCCAGCCAAATGCAAATAGCTTGAAAAAGCAGTCATATAAGAAAGTAAAAAAGAATACTGGTTATTTTCTGAATAGTTTCAAGAAAATAAAATGAGTCAACCAGCATAATGATCAATAAAGTAATACATTTAAAAGCAATTAGAGTAGGTTTTAAAATTAAGTTTATAAAAATGGTTTTTATAATAAATACTATTGTAACTTGAATTATACTCTGTGACCTTCAGATGCACTCTATTCCTGTCTCAATATTTATATCATGGAAACGATTCACTACTTTCTGCTGTTCTTTGAGTAAAACCAAGTGTGATTTATACATGGTAGAAAAAGTTACAATGACCATCACATGGCTAAATGCTAAATTTATATAAAAAATGAGATTTTATGGATTGACATTTACAAGTAATTATTCTATCAGTGATAATTAGGAATTTTGTATTATTTTTCAAATCAATTTTGGTATTAAACTGTCACAGTTTGAAGCATAAACCTGATGATATTAGCCAGAACATAAACCACAGATAAAATGTTTCCCTGACCTTACCTATAAAAAAAGACATTTGGTATGCATTTTCAGAGGTTTCCACCTTGTCTATAAAAATACACCTTCAGTTGTGCAGCATAGAAACATGATATTTGCAGACACACACAACATATGAAAAGTTAGATTCTGGGTGGCTGGGTGGCATGGTAATGGGGCTCTACTGAGGGAGGTGAAAAAGTGTTTGCGCAAAAATTATAGTCACATATCAAATACGGTTTCTTTTTTCCCCTCTTCTATTACTGGTATAAGACTGTGGATGTCAAAGTACGCATAAATTTTACAAGTGGCTTTAAAATGTTTGACCTTGTATGAAGAAATGATTGTTCTCTTCACTGGGATAAATGCTTGCCTAAAAAACTTTACTAAAAGCAATAAAAGGTAATAAATAAAATATTATTCAGTCCCAGATATTATTATTTTTAGCACTAAGAATTACAAATAATGTGTAATTACAAATTCTAGAAGAATTAAAGTGTGGTGTTCTCACTTATCTTAATTGTGAGGCAAAATATGCACATACCAATGAAAAGGCTATATATGGGGTGAATTTTTAAAGTAAAATATTTTGGTTTAAATACTTGTCTTTCCTTATTTATAATATCCAAATGTTGAAAAAAGATCCTCAAAAATAAGATTAAGAATATTTTATCAGTTATGATTCAGCCACTACATATACTTTAGGTACAGCTTTTCAATTAGCTCTCTCTTTCCCAAAGTAGAATATCAGAACTCCAAAAGGGGGTTAGCAGTGGCATTCATGGGGATCTACACACCATCTAAGCCATTTGAAATCTTGAAATACTCCTTTACAAGTCATAATTGTGTGTATTTTCAAACAAGGGAAATGAAACATTAAGGTAAATAAATGAGAATACTGAGGTTGTGAAATGTGTCAGATGTCAAATGAATTCTTTTGGGGATGGAAATGGAGGACAAAACTGGAACTACTAAATTAAATGGAAAAAATCAGGTTCTTGGTTTCAGGTGCAAGGCAGAATATCTCAAATTATTTCAATTTTAATCAACTCATTACAAAGGGCAACCCTGTTCTACAGCTGAAATTTTTAACATACTTATTGTGGCTTTGCCATACAATAGCATGTTAACAGTATGTACATTCCAAAGGATGCTTACAAACTTCAATCATATTAAAATCTATGCAGAATTGTTGGCAATACAGTAAGAGCAATATTAAATTCTGTAAACCATGGCATACCACATTGTACATTATGCAAAGAGACAATATTTACAAGTCGTTAGGAGTTTAAATATTTTATCCACTAACATAAATGATAATTTAGCTAAGTGCAGGACAAAACGAGTGCTATTAATTGCATGTCCTTTACAAGCAGGAAAGAGTAAAACCATTGCTAAAAGCTACCAATAGCTTATTTATGTATGTTTAATATGGGATTACAGAGCATTATAGTAGCCTAGAAAAATGATGCCTATTTAGAAACAGCAAGTAGGAAAATTATAAGGCAGCATGCTTAGAACAGTTTTTGGTTTTTTTTTTAAACGCCAGCACTAATGTTTAATCTTTAATGGCAACTACATATACACATATATGTGTATATTTATTTAAAAATGGAGAGTGGAAAACACAAGCCTCATTTAACAACAAAAAAAGATGTGCAAATTTTCTTCTTAAACCAACACAAAAGAGTGAGGAAAATATTCTACCATTATAAAGAATAAATTGAACACAGCAAAGGAGACCATCTTCATTCCAAAATCATCTACAAGGCACTAAGGGTAGGAAATGACAGGTAACACAGAAGTGACTGAATAAAATTCCTCAGTCAGGCCGGAATATGGGATATTTTGGTAAGAATTCTATTAGTATTACCTGTAAAATAAAAACAAACAAGAATATTTGACATAATAATTTTCATTTACTATATCTTACATATATCCCAGAAACCATATACTCATTTTTCACAGGACTATATTTTATAAGTGAAATATATAAAACAGTTATAAAAAGAATTTACCACACTTTTTTGTTAGATTGAAAATTAAATCAAATTGGCAAATATAATTACTTACTGTAGCTAACAGTTTTTATTACCTGATTGAAAATAACTATTTGTTTAGGTGAAGAAAAGTAAACCCTATTACATTATTATGTCCTTCCACATCTTCCCCCTCCCTTTTTTTTTTAGCAAAGTGGAAGAAATTAAAATTGTGTTATACAGATTAGAAAAATACCTTTATCTATATTACATCTATATATTTTTCTATTAAAGCTGCTATTTGCTTGAGTATTACTATCTTTTACAAGTTGTTTGTAAAAAATAATAAAGTGTCTAAATGGATTAAAACATTTTAATTAAAGGTTTGAAAATATAATAATGAAAAGATATTTACGAAGATATTTGTAAAGTTACATAAATTTAATATGTAAATTTATAATAGTAGATTTTAGATTTGTGGTCATTAGCATATTTTCCTCAAAAAACTATTCAAAGTGGAGAAAGATACCATAACAATCCTTATTTAGGCAATGGAAATGGAATGTTTATTATTAAATACTAGAGGTCTAGTGCATGAAATTCGTGCACTGGGCAGGGGGAACCCTCAGCCCAGCCTGCACCCTCTCCAATCTGGGACCCCTCAGACATCCCTCTCACAATCCAGGACTGCTGGCTCCCAACTGCTCGCCTGCCTGCCTGCCTGATTGCCCCTAACTGCTTCTGCCTGCCAGCCTGATCACCCCATAACCACTCCTCTGTCAGCCTGACTGATGCCTAACTGCTCCCCTGCTGGCCCGATTGCCCCTAACTGCCCTCCCCTGCAGGCCTGGTCACCCCCAACTGCCCTCCCCTGCTGGCCTGGTCGCTCCTAACTGCCCTCCCCTGCTGGCCTGGTCACCCCTAACTGCCCTCCCCTGCAGGCCTGATCACCCACAACTGCCCTCCCCTGCCGGCCATCTTGTGACCACATGGGGCGGCCATCTTGTGTCCACATAGGGGCAGCCATCTTGTGCAAGGGCATGATGGTCAATTTGCATATTACCTATTTATTATATAGGATATACTGCATGTCAGCAACTTGAAACTTGGATAAATTTCATATTCTTTTCTTTTCTTTTTTTTTTTTTAAGTGTCAATTTTAAATCTTTTTTTTATTTTTTTTTTATTTTTCGCTAAAAGTATTACAAAGGGTATTACATAAGTGTCCTTTTTTCCCCCCCCGCCCTTGACAAGCCCCTGCCCTCCCTTACCCCCCAGTGTCTTATGTCCATTAGTTAAAATTTCATATTCTTTTCAATGTTAATGATGTTGAATTCATCACATTGGCTATATGTGAATTTATGTTTTATGCTTAAGATTGCCTAGGTTTCAGTAAAAAATATAGAAACTACAGTTTCTTTACTAAAAAATGTCAGCTAAGAAAAAAAAAGGCAGGCAAATGAATCCAGAAATCAGTTCCTATATTAAGCAAGCTTCAACAAAATTACAGCTGCGCCCATCACCATACGCAATGGTTTGCACCTATGTTAAAAGATTAAAGTTGTGCAATATTTTCTTCTTTTAAAAAGCAATCATTGCTTTTTTTAAAAAAAACTTTAACAATTTAAAAAACTATGCTTTTATTTATTTCAGAGAGAGGAAGGGAGAGTGAGAGAGGGATAGAAACATCAATATGAGAGAAAATCATTGATCAGCTGCCTTCTGCATGCCCCCTACTGGGGATGGAGCCCACAACCTGGGCATGTACCCTGACCAGGAATCAAACCATGACTTCCTGGTTTCATGGGTCTATGCTTATCCAATGAGCTACACTGGCCAGGCTTCTTTTTTTAAAAATAGTTTATTGATTTTTGGAGAAAGAAGAAGGGAGAAGAGAGGAACACTGATGTGAGAGCATAACATTGATCGGCTGCCTCTTGCTCACCCCCTACTGGGGATCGAGCCCGCAATCTGGTCATGTGCCCTGACTGGGAATTGAACCAGCAACCTTTTGGTGCATGGGACGATGCCCAACCAACTGAGACACATCAGCCAGGTCAGTGTGCAATATTTTCATCTGAGCACACTAGCTGAGATTTTTCTAAGCTCCAAATAACTGTTAGCTTTCAAGATATCTTATGTTGGCTACAAATCTAAAGAAGGTGGAGAAAATCTCCATGTTCTAACTGATTAAAGTTCAGCCTGAGGAGAAAAAAGGTAGAAAGATGATTTGACAAATGGTAAATGTAGTAAAATGTAACAATTAGGATGGGATCAACAATAGTTTAATTAAAAAACAACTGCATACTTACATACTCCATCATATTGCTAGTTTCACATTTCCTTTTAGTCAACTTCCAGTGTAAAGCAAGCTAAGAAAGTACAGTTTGTTAAGAATTTTGTTATCAATTTATACTAATTATTACCAATACATTTTAATAAATCACTGAAAACAATCCAAGAGTAAGTACAAGATAAAAAAATAGCATTTAAAAATACCTGTTAAAGAATATACATTGAAAATTGAGTATTAATTCTCTAATCCATTCTTTTGTGGCCTGAAAAAGTCTCATTTTTTTCAATTTAATAATACAAATATATAAATAGGGTACTTATTTGCTTAAATTTCTTACCTTGTGATATAATCTGTTATTTTCCCACTCTAATAACTTCTGAATTGATCTTCTGGTCTAAGAGTAAGAATCAAGACTTTGTTACAAGATGACTTAAGGAACTTTATAAACTATGTGTATCTATATTTTTCTGCTTATTTGTAAGATCCCATTATTTTCTCCTCTTGTTTTTCTATTAGAAATTAGAAAAAAAAAACCACAATGTAATTGACAGAAACTACCAAAAGAGGAGCAATATTTCAGGTGGTTATAAGATCCCATTCCCTCCCTCCTTCATATATACATACACATACACACTTGCATATGTGAGATTTTAATATGTGCATTTCAAAAGGAAATGTGTACAAATTACCCTGTGTTGTGAGTCCATTCACTGAATTATTGTGAAACATTACTAATATTTCTAGAAGTCTATTTATGAATGTAATCTACATTTTCATATATTTTTCCACAAGGTTACTTTTTCAATATACATGCAATATGCCAAGCTAATATGATTTCTCTCAGAAAATTTTTCTATCAGAACTCCTAGCACAATGCTTGGCATTCAGTAGTCAGTCCAGGTCTACAGGTTCAGTAAAGCAAGCGAACATATATCAGAATTTCCACTGAAAAAAACATCTTAAAAACAGCCAGTGAGAAAACTTGTATTTAGAGGGGAAAATATAGAGAAACAGCACGGTAGTAAACAGAAGAACAGACGTTGAGTTTCTCCATTTGGAGTGCACATATTTTGTAGGGAGTAAGAAAAGCTTTCAAAACCTTTGAAAACATTAAAATAAAATATTACTAGGCATTTGAATTCTTATTTAAAGAGTTTTATAATGTTTCTGATAAACAAGCTAATAAGCATTGTTACATTTTAAAACTACATATAATTTACATATAAGACTATATTTGAAATGATATCCAAAGCACTAGCACAAGAAACTATTCTACCTGTTCACCTACATAAGTTAACAACCAATAGCAATTGTATTCAGCACATTTACAGTGGGCCAGATCAGCAACACTACCAGCTAGAGTTAGCTGTGGGGACCTTGCACTTGAAAGAATCTCTCTAAACAAATTCAGATAGTTAAAGAAAGAGATTGAATTAGTAATTATAAATCTTTCCACAAAGAAAAACCCAGACCCCCTGAAAAGTGAGGGGGTCTCAGCCCAAAACAGGGCTCCTAAACCCAGAACACCAATGCTGGCAAGAAGAGCCCACATAACAAATGGCTGTGAAAATCAGTGGAAATTCCTTCCATTCAGGTGAGACAGAAGGCTGGTGAAAATCCAGGTGTTATCTTAAAAAGACAGCACACAAACACTTGCTTGAAGGGATCCACCCTGGGCTCCTGCAGAGGGATGGCAGCTCAGCAGGGTCCCAGAGTCATACAGAGATACTAAGTTGTATGATTTTAGCATGAGGGCCAGAGGGACAGCTGCCAATGTCCCTGAATTGCATCCTCCTCCTGTGCAACCCACGGGCATCTTTTCCTGGGTTGAGGACTCTCCCCACTGGGTATTAGCCTGGTGAGCTACACTAGCTCTACCCTGGTGACTCCCTAAGGCCCCACCCTACCCAATTCCCACACGACCCGAGGCACTGTCAGCAGCAACCACTCTGGGCCCACATTATAGTATTTCTTAAAAAATGCTCGAGGAATTCCACTGATTCTTGAGGGGGTGAGATATACAGGAAGAAACGTTGTATGGCTTCATGTCTAGAGCCATCTTCCTCCACTGTGAACAGGCATTAACTTTCTTATGTTGAGCCCTCCCTCCACACAGCCAAATCTTAATCTGCATTAGCCTGGTGAACTTTCCTAGCTCCATCCTGAAGGCTCCTTGAAACTGCCCAACTACAAAGTTCCACAGGCCCCAGGTGGGTGACAGCTGGCCTTTGTGTACTCTGAGACTTTTGCTGAGTGGCCTCAAACCCAACACTGGCACCAAGTCTGAAACTGTTTTAACCTGGCAAACACCACCTGCCCCACCCTGGTGACTCACTAAGTACCACCTGATGCTATTTTAGTGGCTGAGATGTATGGGAAGCTGGCAGGTAGTAGGGGGTCTTGGGGTGCCTTGGGCCATTTGCTGCAGGCCTGGTACAGGAAACAGCAGGCCTAGGTTCACAGTTTGGCCCTTCTCACTTCACATGCACCCGGGCTAAAAACAGGCAGCTAACAAATGCAGTTGGCTTTATATTTCATAATAGGTAGCCCCAGCTGGTCACAGGAAGCATCTGATATTGACCTGCACTGGAGTCCCTTCACAGAGGACAACAGAGCTAACAGAGCACAACAGAACTAACAGAGCACCATCTGATAAACTCTGTAAGTGCCACTCCTAAAGGGAGCTCTCAGCCAGCACCAGGAACGTGCTGGGGCAAATTATGCAATGTGCGATCAGACCTTGCTCAGCTGCTCATACTCTGTGGTCATGGCAAATTTGCACAGCCAGCCAGCTTTAGAGTCAATAGCAGCCATGGACATGCTAACAGCAATCAAGGCTCATATAAATTATACAAGAAACAGTCCTGGCTCAGGTGGTCAGGGAGATGGCCCCACAAGACACTTACTACATTAGGCCACTCAACCAAGACCGAGAAATATAGCAGATCTACCTAATACATAGAAACAAACAAAGAGAAGCAACCAAAATGGGAAAACAAAGAAACATGCCTCAAATGAAAGAGCTGAAGAAATCTCCAAAAAAAGAGCTAAATGAAATTGAGGCAAGAAATCTACCAGATACAGAGTTCAAAAGAATGGTTAATAGGATGCTCAAGGAATTGAGCGAGAACTTCACCAAGGAGATAACAAGGATAAAAAAGGATATAGAAAACATAAAAAAGAACCAGTCAGAAATGAAGAATAAAATAACTGAAACGAAGAACATACTAGAAGGAATAAATAGATTAGGTGAAGCAGAGAACTAAAGTAGCTACTTGGAAGACCAGGTAGCAGAAAATGCCCATCAGAGCAGCAAAAAGAAAACAAAATTTAAAAAATGAGGATATTTTAAGGGACATCTGAAACAACATCAAAGGTGGCAACATTTATATCATAAAAGTACCAGAAGGAAAAGAGAGCAAGGGATTGAGAACCTTTTTTTAAAAATTTTTTTATTGCTTAAAGTATTACAAAGGGTATTACATATGTGTCCTTTTTTTCCCCCGCCCTTGACAATCCCCTGGCCTCCCCTACCTGAGAACCTATTTGAAGAAATAATGACTGAAAACTTCCATAACCTGCTAAAGAAAAAAGATACACAAGTTCAGAATATGCTGAGTCCCAAACAAGATGAAACCAAAGAGGGCAACACAAAGAACATACTATATAATAAAAGGCTAATATGCAAATTGTCCCCTTGGGAGTTTGACCGCTTGCTATGATGTGCACTGACCACCAGGGGCAGCACAGAATGAAGGAAGGCCCTGGCCGGCAGTTGGCAGCCAGGGGACGGAAGGCCCCAATCGGACCTGATTGCCAGCCAGACCCTATCCATGCACGAATTTTGTGCACTGGGCCTCTAGTTATAAATAAAATGGCAATAGTTAAAGACAAAGAGAGAATCTTAGAAGCATCAAGAGAGCCTGGGCCAGTGTTTCTCAGTAATTGAGCATTGACCCATGAACCAGGAGGTCATGGTTTGATTCCCTGTCAGGGCACAGACCAGGTTGCAGGCTTGATCCCCAGTAGGGGTTGAGCAGGAAGAAGCCGGTCAATGATTCTCTCTCATCATTGATGTTTCTATCCCTCTCTCCCTCTCCCTTCCTCTCTTTGAAATCAATAAAAACATATTGAAAAAAAAAGCACCAAGAAAAAGACAGTTATTTATCTCCAAGAGAGTTCCCATAAGACTGTCAGTTGATTTCTCAAAAGAAACATTTCAGGCCAGAAGGGATTGGCATGATATATTCAAAATGATGAAAACCAAGACAATTCTAACCAAGTAAGCCTATCATTTAGAATTGAAGGAGAAATAAATGGTTTCTAAGACAAGAAAAAGCTAATGGAGTTCATGATCATCAAACCAATATTACATGAAATGTTAGTGGATCTTCTTTAAGAAGAAGAGAGGAACATAGGTTTAAAGAATAAAATGGTAATAAATATGTACCTATCAATAATAACTTTAAATGTACATAGATTAAATGTTCCAATGAAAATTATAAAGTGACAGAATGGATAAGAAAACAAGAACCATATATATAATGTATACAAAAGACCCACCTGAGAACAAAGCATACACATAGACTGAAAGTAAAGAGATGGGAAAAAACATATCTTAAAAATGGAAATTAAAAAAAGCTGAGGTAGCAATACTTATATCCCACAGAATACACTTTAAAAATGCTATAATAAGAGAAAAAGGAGGACATTAATGATAAACAGTTCAATCCAACAAGATTATTTAATTTTAACCCTTGTAAACATTTTTGCATCCTCTTAAATATATAAATCAAATCTTGATAGATATAAAGGGATAGATTGACAGCAGTACAGTCATAGTAGAGGATTTTAATACCACATTGACATCAATGGATAGAACTTTCAGTCAAAATAGTAACAAGGAAACAGCAGCCTTAAATGTCACACTAAATCAGATGGATTTAATTGGGATCTTCAGAGTATTTCACTTCAAAGCAAAAAAAATACGTTCTTCTCAGGTGTACATGGAATAATCTGAAAGATAGACCACATGTCAGGACACAAAATAAGTCTATACAAGTTCAAGAATATTGAAATAATATCAAGAATCTCCTCAGATCATAAGGGCAAAAAAAGTAGAAATCAACTACAATAAAAATCTCAAAAACATTCAAACACATGGAGGCTACATAGTATATTATTAAACAATGAATGGGTTGCCAATGATATCAAAGCAGAAAAACTTCCTGGAAACAATTGAAAATGAACACGCAACAACCAAAAATCTATAGGACACAGTGAAAGCAGTCCTGACAGGGAATTTCATAACTTTATAGGCCTAACTAAAGAAGCAAGAAAAATCTCAGATAAATGATTTAACCCTACATTAAAACAATTAGAAAGAGTACAACA